CAGTACAAAGTCCTGCTCAGCACCATCTACTACATTAACCAGTTTTTTTTGAATGCCAAACGATGACTTTGCACAAACATTGCTATATTCTTGAAAAGCCAAATATTATACTTGGAATCAATCTCAGAGATTATACCGACAGATACAAGGAAAACAAGTTCCAGGATACCCCAGATGTGTATTCCACCGATGCCATGGTCGAATTTATTCAGTACACCAAGCAATGATGAATGGTTTTATTTACGACTGCTATTAATCAATGTACGTGGCCAACATCATTCCAACATTAACGAACTGTTGATGTGAACTGTGATGGATCTTACCTGCCTGTCAACGTTTGCAATTGCTAGAAATGACGCTCATTGGATCAAACTCTCAATGATGCTGTAATATCATCAAAACGCTCATCAAATACGAACATTGTTTTCTATAATCGATATCTTACATGCTTCCCATCAAACCAATTGATTTGTGGATCAAGTACAAAGATTATATGTGTGATGATATTTTGTATCAAATACGAAATAGAATGGGAATCCAAATATACAATCAGTGAAGAAACTATAATGAAGCATTCTACGGAGCAAGATCTACGGAGCAATCATAACCAATGTGGTGGTGCAATGATTTTTTATTACCAGGAGATTTTTCGTCAAACATTGCCAGTGGTTCCACGACCAACACCAGCTGATGAACTCAATGATGTCTAAAGTCCTCCAATTTTGTAGAAACATGTCAGAGTACTTTATTTAATCAAGAATATTGCGTGTCGAGTTGCAAAAATGACAATCTGGAAACATATTCTCTAAACTACTCATTGACATTGGTAATGGCAAATTTCCTATAGATATCTTGACTGGCTGCATTAACTTTCCTCAAAGTTTTGTCAGTTAACTCGATCAAAAGATGAACTTATTCAGAAAGTGTTCCAGATTTTTCTCAAATTACAGAAACCATGATTGGTTGAGCGAACCAGCTATTATTGCTGCAAAAACGTTAGATGTAAATGACTTAAATTTAAAAATTCAAAACAAATTACAGGCGAATCGAGGATATATAAATCAGTTGCATTTGGCTACTAACAAGCATGATTTAGTGAACTATCCACCAGAATTTTTAAACTCGCTGGATTTACCAGGATTGCCACCCCGGCAATCTTCATTATTCAATTAAAGGTTGGATCTGTAGTTATAATGTTGCGAAATATCAACCAACCACGTCTTTGCAACGGCTTTTATGATTCACATGATTAACAATAAAGCGATTACTTAATTTTAAATGCTTATATATGTTTTATTTAATTATATTTCTTATTCACAATGCCCTATCACTAGGGTGACGGTTCTGTTCAGAAGATTTTTTGCCTAGGCTATAAAATATGTAGGAACAAAAAAACTGTCACATTACAAATCTTTTGGACAGGACGAAGTCTGTCGGGTCCGCTAGTTAAAAAATAAAACAGCACACAGATGCAATCCGCATCACGCTGCAACACATTATCATCCTACATCGTACATAATTCTGAAGCGATGCGTTTTAGAACCTTGAAGCCAGAATTTCATGTCTGGGACACGGGTTGTTTTCTATCTCCTAACCTAAAAAAAATATACATATTTAGACTTTTATTCGATGCTTAGAGAGTATTATTCCAAGCTTAAGAGGAAAAAAAGGCACCTCATATTTGCATTTGTGTACGTTAAAACCATATTAATAATAATAATAATAATAATAATAATAATAATAATAATAACGATATTAGTTTTACAGAAGTTTGTAGAGTTGTTATTTTTAACTTGACATGACATTACACGTGGAGAAACGGTAGTGGAGACAGCATATTTGCCTTCCAAACAATTTGCTCTGTTGGTGGCTGAGGTCAGGAATTTAGTTTCCGTTGTATTTCTCAGCCATGCGAGAGGGGACAAAAACCACAGTGATCTTGTTTTTTGTAGGTAGGTTTTCATAGGTTATGAAATTACACATATATTGTCAAGAATTACGGCAAACAACATACGTTAAAGCCATATTTGTACATGCTCGCAGAAGATGTAATAGAAGAATTTTTAAAAAAATATACGCAATAATTATATGAGAATACTCTTCGACACAAGAACCTCAAAACCTTAAACATTTTTTTTAAAATTAATGCCTTTTGGTCGAATTTCAACCCATGGGCGACTATTAATATTACTATTATTTTAAATATTGTTTTGATTTCACGCATAAAGAAATCATATTTTCAAAGAAGGTTCGTAAGGTTTAAAAATATATTTCAATAATAAATAATATATCGACAATTCAGTGGCTGATGAAGGAGCCCAGAAAAAATTTCAACTTTTGCTACTTTCGGAAATGCAGATGTTTCAAAGAAAATCGGACCTGTGCCATCTTTAGAAGCAACATCAGACAATAATTTTCTCAAAAATCGCTTCAAATCTTTTTGTTTACATTTTCTTCCGGTATGAGTGGAAAGTTGGTAAAAAAGTGTCGTAGACCCACTTCCGGCAAACACGATATTTCGTGAAATTGCAAACATTGCAAATATACAATATTGAAGCTAGAGATTTTTGTCTGAAACGAATCGATTCTATAAAATCAGAACTTCAATAAAATATCCCAAACATTTTTTTGAAAAAAACAACAACAAAAAACAAATAGTTTTAACGTAATTTGTAGTTGAAGTTAATGTAAATTATAAAAAAAGCATTTTCTCAAAAATCCCTCCAAATTTTTTGCATTAAATAATTTCTTCGAATAAAACAATGGACACTTAAAAGCAATGTCAGTTTTTTGTTGAATTCTCTGAATGTTTGACAACTGAAAATAATAATACGAGAATGTATGTGCTGTTTAGCACCACTAGTTTTTCATTTGCTTTATTTACTATGATGACCAGTATCAGAAAAGAAGCGAATTGTAAACATCATATTACAAATAGGTAACTACTTCAAATTCCGGAATGCTATCTGAACCCTTTGTTCATTAATTTCCTGGCTCCAATGTAGGCAATCGTAATGGTGAGGTAATTTTTCGGTCAATTGGGATTGTAACAAATACATACAAGGAAACCTTTTCTTTTAGCTCTATTCATTGAAATATGTATCAAATCTTTGTGTTTAGTCAGTAACTGGTAAGTAATATTTGTGCCAGTTCGTTGTGCATTCACTTGTGCATTCGCTTGTGAATTCGCTTGTGCATTCGCTTGTGCATTCGCTTGTGCACTCGCTTGTGCACTCGCTTGTGCACTCGCTTGTGCATTTGCTTGTGCATTCGCTTGTGCATTCGCTTGTGCATTCGCTTGTTCGTAATAAAAATACAATTTTGAAGTACATGCTATGGATTGAAGTTTACAGTATGCAGTTAAAACATTTCAAACACATCCACCCTTTACGTCTCTTGTTTGGTCTCGAAACGAAAGAGACCAGAAAAAAAATATTGTGAAAAGGGGTTTCCTGAAATTTACACAAAATGGACAATAGACAAGTTTCAGTTAAACTCCCTATTATATGTTCCTCCAAAATATTTTTCTTTCGACATTTTTATAATATTTTTCCATTATGTTGTAAATTGCAAGAGTAGGTATATAAAGTTTGAAGCTTTTTCTATTGAAATGCTAACATTCGTTATTTAGCCTGATTAATAACTATGAAGGTACTCAAGCGTAACAGAAATTGAATAAATTTGTAGTTATTATAGAATTCGAAAACATTCCATCTAGAGTTGGTTGTATATCTGTAGTTTCCCCTATTTGATCATTCTACTCGTCGTGCTTTGACGTACGTCCTGCAATTCATAGTAAATGTACTTGGTGAAACATTGCATATCAAAAGTTTACAACTTCACTATCTTCATTATCTGGCACTTTGTCACATTTTGAGGTCAACTGAAACGTACAAGTGACCACGTGAATTTTTTTTTACTTTCAAACTTTTAGACTCAAATTTTACACTGGATTGAAGACTATACAAATCATGGAAAATAGTGGCAGATGCTTACATTCACGTAAATAAGTAACATTTTAATAGTAACCTTTTCAATCAAATTACTATGTTTTCGCTTCGTGTGATTTTTATTTGCTTTGTTAGAACATCTGGTCTAATGTGAATGTAAACACAATTTGCAAGAGCTTATTTAACTAGGAAGGAAATTAATGTTTTATTATTATCTGCGAAAATTGAATTTTGAAATACCAATTACAAACATTCGAATTCAGGAGGAGGCTCGTTTCCATAATATTGGGTAAAAGAGTTCGTTATAAAAATCAGATTACCCTTTTATTTAAAGCTGTTTGCTTAATGAAGCTTCCTATAACGTGGTGGAGAGAGAAGTGTAAACGAAGTTTGCGCTTCAAAAATTTCCTTTCACGAGAGTTTTTGTGAGAATTAACGCAAGCTAGTAATGTATTTGATTTAATTTTTGAAATGTCAAATTAATGAATTGTTTCCGCAGAGGCTACTCATATTTATTTGTGTCTAAAAACTGAATTAAATGATGAGAAACCAACATTCCTACGTTTGCTAACTGCTTAATTTGTGTTTTCTTTGCACATGTGAGATAAATTCGTTAACTCTGAAAATTTTGTTTGGACACATACTCGAATAATTTTTAAACTTTCTCACCCAATAACTGTTGCAAACTGACACAGAAAATAAAAATAATAAACTTTGTAACAAAAGTAATGAACTTTTTCTTTTTCCCTTTACATCGTAGTATCGAAAACGTGTAACGGTGTTCGGTGAATTTTCCTCTGAAAAATGCGTATTTCTAGTATGGAAAAAGTGGGTAAGTCATGTTCCTAATTGTATTAAATTATATCTCTCCATACTCCTCTATACATGATGAATTATTTAATCCGTTTATATGTAAGGTTGGTACCTATTAATTTATACACGAATAGTTATAATATTTGTATTGTATACGTATTGATGTTTAGTCTAATAAAGTGGTTGTTCTTGTGTGTATTACTAGCCTTGAAGATGGAATAAAATAATTTGACATGTCGCAAAATGAAACGATTTAATGTTTTGGATTAAAATGTATCTTAATCTCAAGATGCGGAACATCCTTCCATTCACTTTAGTGAAGCATTCTACAATGTTAAAAAATAATATTTATTTTTTAGTGCTTCGTTATAGCTTGTTATTGTCTTTGATACAGAGTTCGATATATACTCGAGAGGACCACGGTTAGGAGGAAAATATGAAAACAGATGAATGATGCTACACGTTTCCTTATGGAGGGAATTAGGAGAGTTAATTATGGAAGGGAATTATGGGAGGAAAATTTGAAACGACAAACCGAGTCAATTTAGCATCTAGTTAATTATTAAATATATAAATCGAAATAAATAAAATTAGGTAAATAATAAATCGAGGTGTATTCTATTTACACTATTTTATGTAGGTAGCGCGCTCTGTTTATGTTGCTGCTCTGTGCTGAGTAGGTGGGGAGTTCCATTAATCTGACAGAAGTACCCACAACTGAAATCTACAGCGGACGCAAATTGTTTTCATTCCACAGGGGTGAATATTTCTTGTAATCAAATATTATTAAAACACTTGTTGGTATGTTTATTCATAGTTCAACTAAGCGCATTAAAAGATAAATATAGAGAGATTCGATGCGGCGAGAAAATGTAAGCAATACGTTCTTTCACGAGTGTCACCCAGTTTTCAATTAAATAAATAAACAAACATATAACTAAACAAATAAATAAATATGGCGCGCGGCGCTACGTAGGGCACTGAGTAAGCCTCAGCGTGTAGGGTTCGATGAATAGCTCGGAGTAGGCCTCGATGAAGTTTGTGTATGAGGCAACATTGAACGACTCGGAGTGAGTAGTTTTCTGTACAGAGACGCGTATTGAGCTTGGTGCATGGGACATGGCGCGTGGGACTTGGCGCGTAGGGCGTGGCGTCGATGCCTTGGCGTGTACGCCTTGGCGTGTAGTCCTTGGCGAGTATGCCTTGGCGAGTACGGCTATGTGTAGAGCTGTGTGCAAGGCAGTGAGCAAGGCTGTGAACAAGCCTGTACGCAAGGCTGTGTGGAGGGCTGTGCAGTATGCAGTGCTGAGTGTAGGGCTCTGTGTACGGCTGTGTGTTGGGCTGTGTGTTGGGCTGTGTGATGGGCAGTGTGATGGGCAGTGTGCAGAGCTCGTTGTACTGCTCGGTGTAGTGCTCATTATAGTGTAGATTTCGGTATAAAGCGCGGGAGAGGATGAGGGGTAGGGTGCTGGATAAGGTGCGGGGTAGAGCGCGGGGAAGTGCCCTGGGAAGACGCGAGTCAAGCGCGGAGGGGAGGGAGGTTAGGGGGCGTGGTAGGGCATGGGGTACGGCGGGGTACAGCTGGCAAGGCGAGAGCAATGAACGTAGGACCCGGGAGGTCTCATGAATATTGCAGAAGTTGTCGCTACGTGAATATCAAAAAGTGCTGAGTGTTCCTGTGCTGTGCTTTTTTTGGCATTTAATGCGCGGACTTTTTACCCCATGGACAACGGGAACTGCTGTACTTTCACGTAAATAACTCACAAAGTAAATGTGTCCAATTTTCACTTTCTGTCATTAGGCACTCGTGTTTTTTAAGAAATCTTTTTCTCAACACAATGCATTTATTAAGCGGCAAAATCACAGATAATATGTTTTATAGGAGAAGGAAATCTTGCTATCACTTGAAATCAACACGAACATTGGAGTAACAGCTTCATAAAATGTCGTACATGGTGAGGTTCCACGTTCCATTGGAGAATGTTTCGTTGATAATTTATTGGTAGGAAACTCTTCTGATGCATTCACTATCTGCCGTTTGTTACAGCCTTCGAAATATTGCCATTTCAGTTGGAATAATGACATCAAAATGAGAACAATTTTTATTAGTTTTTTTTATGTTTGCATGAAAATACGTCAGATATTTAACTTAATAACAGCTGGGTATGAGATTATTTGAAAGTTATATTTGTTAGTCAAATAATTTATCCCATATATATTTAAATTCCAGTTTCACTTCGTCCTAGAGCATTTGATTCTTCACGAATGAAGTTATATACAATTTTAAAAATGAAAGTCATTTTTGATCTGCAGCAGTGGTCGAGGCAACATTGTGCAATCCGCTCAGTATAGCTTCGCGGTCTGTAACTAGTTTGCGTGTTTTCATGGAACTCAAGAAGTTTAAGTGACAGTGTAAAATGAGCAGTCTACTGAAATATATGCAACTGTTTTGATTACGACGTACCTGTTTCTCATTGTGAATGGGGAACAGCAAATAAATGGCTGATACCGAAGCGGCTATCTGAAGGCAGACCTCTGACTACAGAAGACAGCCCGTTGAAGGAAACACGACCGGTTGTCCAAGTTACAATAAAGTGGTTCTCAATGCCATGTACCCGGAGAACGAACAGGGTATTATAATTGAAGGTAAAGACCACAGCACACCTCTCGAAAGATACGTAGACGCTTTAGCAACGATCGTTCCGCCTAGTTACGTCACGTCACGTATGCATCAAAAATTTCAAATAACAGGGTGTGTGTACTTTTGAGCAGTAAGCAGTTAGTAGACGAATTAACTGAGAAGCACAAGACTATTAATATTGAGGGCTCCTCCCAAAATATTCAATCTCTGGTATGTACACAGAAGCGTATTGTAATTTCAAATGTTTATCCTGTGATTCCTAACGCAGTAACTGAAGACGAACTAGACAAACTAAAAGTGATATGCAGTTCTCAAGTGTCGTTTATCAGAGCAGATTTTGGTAAATAACAGTGTACCCATATCGTAAGTTTCCATAGACAGGTATTCGTACCGGAAGACTCATTAAATAAGATACCTGAAGCTATACTGATCACATGCAAAGGAGAAAGAAACTGGATTTACAGGTCTAGCGGAACTATTAAATGCCTTCACTGTAAGGAAGAAGGGCACATTGCAAAAAACTGCAAAAATATAGCAGACATTAACTCCAACAAATCGGAAGAAATTATTAAAAACAATGTATCACCTGACAACAAGGAGATAAGGTACCTAGCTACCACAAATTTCCTCTACTCGACCAAGGCAAGCCTGTTAAAAGAGCCTTATCGCAGATCGCAAGCACTCCTAGAAACAATTCAAGTGAACTTCCGTAAGAACAATTCAACCGTCCCCAAGTAAGAATTAACGGAGCAGTAAAACAAACGAAGAAAAAGAAAATGAAGGTATCCAGAGAGAACACCATTTGTAGCGGCGGCAATAAGAAAAGCATAATGAAGCAACTAGCTCCAGTGAAAGAAAACATAGAAGTAGCCAACAATGTACTTGCGTAC